TTGTGTTCCCTCTCCCACCACAAGACCGTGTCTGTCACCCTGGGCGCCTCACACGTCCTCTGCCACTCAGCAAGAGCGATGCCGTGGTCATCAGTCACAACATACGACCGTGGCACAAGGACGACCAGATGCCTCCAGCACTTCGAGGACCCCACTCACAAGACGACACCACAAGCATCGATGCCAAAACGCGGCGCACACCCCCAGCATGAACCACACATCACCTGCGAAGACCAAGACCCTGCCAGGACGACAACGACTACAACACCGCTCGACGGACAACAACAACGAACGAGGAGCGCAAGAACTAGGACTGCCGACCACCGCAAAGCGAGGAGCACAAGGGAGCATGCAGACGACGACTGCCGATGACCACAATGACTGCGCAGACGAGGATTGCCGACAACCACGAGCACGAGGTCCGTCAACGACAGCGAGGACGAGGACCGCCGGCGACAGCCAGTAGGAAAGACGAGGACGCGGACTGCAGACGACAACGAGTATGAAGACTGACGACGAGGACAAGGACTGCCACTACTACTGTAGCGTTTCGACCGTAACTTCACAGCCTGTGACCCGTTATGGTCTGAAGTTACAGCGAACAGCTTCACAGACCCTTAAATTGCCTTATTTGGACAGTCCCGCCATAGGCGGGACCTGAAATTTCCTTATTCGGAAGCTCGTGCCTGGCCAAAGTGGTCTGTGACCCGTTATGGTGTATATATAGCTTCACTTCAAAGACCCCCGTGACCCGTTATGTGAATTTGCGGTTGAAACGCTACAGTACCAGGACGAGGACCATCGCTACCAGGACGAGGACCCGCTACTAGGACGAGGACCATCGCTACCGGACGAGGACTGCCGAGTACCAGGACGAATACTCAATAGCAGCAACTCAGCCAAGGACAACGTCGCTATCGCGGATAAGTATACCGTATGTATACCGTATCGCACTAGAGACTTTCTTGGATACCCTTTGTATTCGATAGCCAAATATATTTTATTTTTCACTATTTCTTGCCCGAGCCGAACATCCAGAAAATGAGTAAAATTGAGCTGAGAAAAATACCCTATACTGTACGGTTTCGACCGTAGGTTCGCGGCCTGTGACGCATTATGCTACGAACTTATATAGAACAAGTTCGTAACCAGGCACAAGGGTCTAAATTACTATATTTGGACGTCCCGCCGTAGGCGGGAGCGAAATTTTTGCCGTTTTGGGTGATTTGACCCTGAATTTGAGGTCCGTGATGCGTTATGTTTTAAGCTAAGTTCGGTTCCCAGGCCCGCGTGACGCGTTATGCGAACTTGCGGTCGAAACCGTACAGTAGCAGGGGAATTGAGACACAGAGAATACATGACTGCCACCTAGTGCCGAAAGCTGGCCTCCAGCTTTCCAGTTTGACCTGGCTCCAGGCTGGTGCAATTGCGATCTAAACTGGTGGCCAGGCAATCAGCGATCAAAAAGCTGACCTGGGCCAACATGTGTCACCGGCAATCATTCCAGCTGGAGTCCGGCTGCATCAGGAAAAACCTACTTTGCCATATTAGTGTTATTTATGACTCTTTATGCATAATTCTGCTAATGGGCATAGACTATGGAATCTTAGACATCTTTAGACATCTTTTACTCATAGATATCTAACATAATATGACACAAAAAATAAATTACAACTTATAGTCAAATCAGTACCACGACGTGTTAAGTGTTGCCTGGGCCGACCCGTGAAACCGAGCTGATATCAACATCGTGTGCCGCATCTTCCAAATGTTGGCCTGACAGAGAGGGGTCATGAGGTTGGGCCCTAAACCTATGTGACTCGCGAGTCAACGCCAGTTGAGTCAAGCGAGTCCGCAAGTAAACTTGCCGGCCACCACCTCTAATCCATTCATGCCCGACGAGCATCCCGGGCAATGGCACGGGGACAGTCAGCCGTGCATGAGCAGGGACCGAGGGTGGTGATGGAGGGAGTGATACAGGGAGTGATGGTTGTGACAAAGGAGTGGGGAAAGTAGTAATGAAGGAGGAGGTGGTTGTAGTCGTGCGGTGTACATCCTTGATGTGTCGTCGTCGTCGTCGCCATTCTCGACGCGTCGTTGTTTGTCCCTTGCCGTCTAGGCGTCGTCGTGCATGTAGTCCGCCCGTGTCGTTCGTGGGCGTCGTCCGCGTCCGCGCAGCCAGCTCGGCGCAAAGGCATCACCAAAAACACACCCAACATGCTGCCTGACAATCGTCACAGCAGCAGGGACGACAGTCGTCGTCGCCTGGGTGGTCATGGTGGTCTGAGGAAGAGAGAGAACACGCTTACGCGGCCGACTCGGTTATCAACCGGTCCGAGGCACATAGTCCGTGCGTGACTGATCATGTGCATGTTCGGTTCACATTTTTCTAAGTCATTCGTTCTCTTACCGTCGCTTCCTATTTACCACCAACCCCACCGTGCTCTGGTCCCCTCTGGGTCCCCTCAACTCGCAACTTTGCTGACCCGGGATTCACGACAACGGCTTACGACAGCCGCGAGGACGATTTTTACGCGTTATGCTCTCGCGACGAGCAGCGCGGACGCGTAAGCCTCCCGGAGGAGGAGCAGCACTTTAACGGGCTTCAAGAGGCTGGAATAGCCCCCGCGCTGTCATGTTCACGCCCTGCAATGAGGCGAGGAGTTTTCCTTGCCCCGCACTTTTGCTCATCGTCGCCGTTGTCGTGGCCAGCACCAGCCGCTTTGTAACATCACCCTATAGAGGCTCAAAACCCGGCTTCAAGGTGTGTCGCGCCGTCGTCGTTGTCCGCCCGCCACTTAGCCTCCCCGTCGTCGCGCCGACCAGCAATCCCATTGTGCAATTACTCGTCATTTATTATCTCGCTCTGTTTCCTCTATTTCGAACGCTCTCCGGTCAAAATGAATAACTCTATGGAAAATAATATATCTACCGATAATGACTCGCCTACCGACGAGAGGAAGCAGAGTCCACCAGCTTTCTTGGACCTCGCCGACTCTGTATGTCTTCTCCTTTCACCCCACAACAACCCCGCTTATACTTTGTTGGTTAGGCCGCTAGGCTTGGAAGTAATATGACCGATATTTCTGCTGTACGTGTTCTTGCAGTGTTGACTACTGGGCCCGCTCACGTACACCGCAGCAGCGTGTCGAACTCAAGAGGATCGAGCACGAAAGGCAACGTGCTCTCCAGCGCAAAATATTCGAGGATCAGATGCGCGTACTCGAGCACCAGCAGGCCCAGGAGCTGCTCAGTCTCCCCTACGACCCCAACGCTCCCACCAATGGCGGTATCCAGCACCTCGCCGTCTCTGCCCGACTACGCCTCCCCGTGTCAACGCCGTCCTCAATGGCGACCACGGATTCGCGGGAGAAACACTCAGAGTGGCCGCAGTTCCATGGGTCGAGAGGACCGGATGGCTTGGCCTCGCGGACTGACCGCCGCACGGTGACGAATCCCAACCTGAACCTGTCTGGCGCAGCCGTGGATCTGAATGGGAAGCTTGCAGGCACGGTGTCTGCGTCTTCGACCCCGCTTCACCCTCAGGGCCACCTACATGTTCGTCCGCCATCCTCACGACGGGGATCACCGCCGAGCATATTGGAATCTCTGAATGGCACGACGCGATCTGTGCCAGCCACGCCTCTCGGCATTTCCAATAATCCCCTGCTGAAGACGCCCGGGACGCCTCTCTCGGAGGCGCCTATGAACGGACGTCTGAGCCACCAGTTGGGCGACAACAACATCAGTCCAAGCGATTTACAGGCGTCGTTGTCGCGCATCTCGTCTGGGCAGTACGATGGCAGTGGTTTGTCCTATCACTCGTCGCAGGGCGGGTTAGATGATGCCATGCAAGTACGTGTACACATCTGAATCTTTTTTTCGTTTCCGTGTTCTAATATTGTCATGCAGTCGTATGGGAGCGGACTCGAGTCCGGGTTTCCACTTCGATGATGTTGATACTGAGAGGCCGGCGGGCAGGTGTAAGGCATGGACTCGAAACAAGTATTAATGTATACAATATCACATGTAATCCTTGTACTCTTTTATATTATCGAGCTATGATCCAGTATCTCTGTTCTCATGTTAGCATTTGGTTTCCGATTATAACTCGTGTGAGAATGGTCTAGTTCATGTATAATTAGTTAGTATCTTATGCATAATACAAGCGTAATATATCTCTAAAATGTGTTATTTCAGCAAGGGGGTACACCATATGTGTATATATTATGCATAATCATCTGAATTTGCTATTTTAGCAGAATTTAGAGGAAATTAGACATTATATAGACATACTTAGGTGTAATCTAGCAATGTAGGTTTTTCCTGATGTGCTCGCCCGTTGGCGGTGTAGTGGAAACAACCTAGGTTAGCATACCGAGAGGTTGTTTCCCGGTAAATTACCGGTTATTTACCGGTTCGTAACCTCAGAGCCTGGGAGCTAGGTTATTTACCTGCATGTGACATTTTCACGTGATCTGTGGCGCACAAATTCGGGAAGCTTGCCACCATTGGCACTAGGAAAAATGCCACCACAACAACCTGTTAAGAAAATAAAAATGCTAACAATTGGAGAGTTGAATTCAATCAAAATTCAGCACAAGAGCACTCTAGGTTGACTCTGGCAGCTCAAATCAGGCTCAACAAAATACAGGGTTCAATTGGCTTAGAATTAGATGGAAGGAAAGGAGAGAGAACTACATAATCAATATTTAACTGTGGCGACACCCAGAAAGTGGGCATGAGGCCAAAGGAGAGAGAACACACAGATAACAGCAGGCAAAGAAATTCGCGAAAAGGTCACGTGAATATATCACGTGCCGGTTAATTACCGTTTCTAACCGGTAAATAACCGCTTCTGCTGGGCGGGTAGGTAAATAACGGTTATTTACCACCCCGGAGGTTATTTCCACGACCCTATCGCCGCTCCACCCTACGGCGCTAGCTCAGGCATTGCAAAAATTGAAAAAAGGCGACGTTTTGTCTGGTTTTGTCCTGTAAGGCACTACCAGGGGTCGAACCTGGGTTATGGGAAGTCGAGAGGCTTGTTATCACATCAGAATCCCATGTGCTGCCACTACACTATAGCGCCGCGCCGAGCTCATGCTGCAGTCCGGGTAAATGGGCAAGTCCTATTACTCATCTTTCTTACCTCACCATCATACGTCCACCTGACTTGATTGCTCGGATCTTGTCTTAGTCTACCATTCATGGCCTGGCGTTGACGACGACAATGTTACTCTCGACCTCGGCCAGGCGGCTGAGAGGCACGCCGTTGCGGCGACTGTATCACGACGAGTCGTTCGGATACAGAGCCCCTCGTGCCTACGTGTTTCCTGACTGTATGTCCTGCTCGCTGTCGGTATCCATGCTTCCTGATTAGACTGGGTATAGATACACCAGCCCAGCTATCCAACAGAGCAGAGAATGCGGCGCTACTACGCTATGTCGACTCTGTGCGGACGCATGGACACCGTGCAGCGCGCATTGACCCCCTGGATCTTATTCAACGCATGGAGGTGAAGGCACTGGATCCTACGCGTTACGGACTTGTTGATTCCGACAAGAAATACAACGTGAATGGCATTATCTGGACGAACCCGAATGTCGAATCCCAGGGTAAGAACCAGGAGGAGTGGTGGACGCTAGACGAGATAACCCAGCATCTTCGACTGACATATGTCGGTCGAATTGCCTATGAGGTATGGCTTGACTTAGACGGCTATTACTGAACACTAATGGGATGTCAAGTATATGCACTCGCCCAGCAAGTCTGAACGATTGTGGTTCTCACATCACCTCGAGAGCAATCAGACTGCCCCGCCGCTATTGGACAAGAAGCGAATTCACGGTTTGCTTGCGCGTAGCGAGGTGCTCGACAACTTTCTCCAGCTTAAATTCCCTAATCTCAAAAGATACGGCCTGGAAGGAGGCGAGTCCATGCTGCCCGCGCTTGACGCGCTGTTCTCGTCAGCAGCCCGAGCGTCTATGTCAAACATCATCTTGGCGATGCCCCACCGCGGACGTCTCAATTTATTGACTGACCTGCTCGCCTACTCCCCTACGGCGCTCTTCCATAAAATCCGCGGTGGCTCCGAGGTACCCGAAGAACTCGGTGCTGAAGGAGATGTCCTTAGTCACCTCGTATCTTCAACCAATATTAACGGCGTCAAGGTCTCTCTTCTCCCTAATCCGTCTCATCTAGAAGCCGTCGCTGGTGTCGCCCTAGGAAAGACGCGTGCCAAACAGTACAGTCTCCTCAAGACTTCTCCAGATGACTGCTCGCTCGGAGACCGCGTCATGTGTGTACAACTTCACGGTGACGCGTCGTTCACCGGACAGGGTGTCGTCATGGAAAGTCTTGGGCTGAGCAACCTCCCACATTTCACCAGTGGCGGAACCGTACATCTCGTCGTGGACAACAACATTGGTTATACCACCCCCGCATCCCAGGCCCGATCCTCCATGTATTGCTCGGATATCGGCAAGATGATCAATGCGCCTGTGTTGCATGTTAACGGTGATCATCCGGAGGATGTGGTACGCGCTATGGACGTGGCGTTCAGATACAGACAATACTTCAGAAAGGACATCATCGTGGATCTGTTGGTTTACCGACGATGGGGCCATAACGAGCTCGACCTCCCGAGCCTCACCAGCCCGCTCATGTACGAGCAAATCGCCGCGCGCCGTTCCGTGCCCCAGTTGTATGAGGAGAAACTCATCAACGAGCAGGTCATCTCTGCGGGCGACGCCGCCGTACTCCGAGACTCGTACAAAGTGCATTTGAACGACCAACTTGTCAAGGTCGAAGGATATACTCCGTCTGCGAGTATGCTTGAGGGCCAATGGCACGGCATAGTATGGCCCGCTTCGTCGGAAGCGTCCTCTTCTCCCATGACCGGAGTTGATACCCAAACACTGATCGACGTCGGCGAAGCGAGCGTGCGTGTCCCCACCGGATTCGAGATCCATCCCAAGCTACAACGTCACATCAAGAGCCGGCTAGGTAGCTTGGCGAAGGGGACAGGGATCGATTGGGCGTCAGCGGAGGCCCTAGCTTTTGGATCGCTCTTGATGGAGGGGTATGATGTGCGCATTTCAGGGCAGGATGTTGGGCGTGGGACGTTCAGCCAACGGCATGCCATGTTGGTTGATCAGAAGAATGAGGGCACGGTTGTACCACTGAACCACGAGCTCAAGGCAAAAGGGAAATTAGAGTTGGCGAACAGTAAGTCCATGATTTGATTTGAGAATCGTTCTGATTGTCCTCTTCAGGTTCACTCAGCGAGATGGCGGTTCTGTCGTTTGAGTACGGCGCGAGCTGGGAGAGGCCTGATTTGCTTCCGATATGGGAGGCACAATTTGGCGACTTTTTCAATGGGGCACAGGTCGGGATTATGGTTCTTTGAGTCGCAGAACATTGACGCCCTTGTTAGATCATCATCGACACTTTCATCACGTCGTCGGAAAGTACGGTCATTCCCTCGTCGTATGAATGCATGATTTAATTCATAACCACAGCGAAATGGTTAAAGCAAAGCGGTATCGTTATGCTCTTACCTCACGGCTTGGACGGCGCCGGTCCAGAACATTCGTCTTCGCGTATTGAGAGAATGCTTCAGGTAATGTAATTTGGGCTTTTCCGTTTCCCCTGCTAATCAATAAGCTACAGCTGTCCAACGACAGATACAGCTTATCGGCCGACAAGCCTAATGTCAACATTCACGTTGTATACCCAACGACGCCTGCGCAGTACTTCCATTTACTGCGTAGACAAATGAAGAGGAACTACCGGAAGCCCTTGATTGTGGCAGGACCTAAGGGGCTGTTGCGTTTATCGGTGCGCGTTACCTGCTGCTTTTGCTCTCGCTATCTAAACAACAGTACAGGCTGCCGCGTCTTCGCTCTCAGATATGGGACCAGGAACATCTTTCCAGCCTGTCCTTGCAGACGATGTCTCCAACCCCGAACGAATTATATTCTTGACGGGCAAGATATACTACGATTTGATCAGGGAACGACACGCTCGTGGATTGGACGACAGGATTTCTTTCGTACGGATCGAGGAGCTGAGTCCGTTCCCATTCGAGGCGGTACAGGATGTTTTACGCGGGTACGGCGGGAAGGCGGAGGCCGAGTGTTTCTGGCTGCAGGAGGAGCCGAGGAATCAGGGCGCATGGGGGTATGTGCGCGAACGGATTGAGGATGTGATGGGTGGGAAGAGGTTGAGCTATCTGGGACGCAAGGAGAGTGCGTTGCCGGCGCCGGGTGTGGGGAAGCTGTATAAGAAGCAGCAGGAGGAGGTGTTGGCTTCTGCGTTCATGGGACTGTGAAGCAGACAATTGTTATCTATTTATCTGGAAAGGACTACCAATACTAATACTAATCTGCCATTTTTGAATCAAAAGTTTGGCTGAGTTCCCACGCTTGTTACTTTCTCTTAACCACCACACACGGGGTCCGAAAGCCTTGCATTTTATCCAAAAGACGTAGGTTTATCCGTCCCCCCTCCTTCTCCAACATGACGACGTTGTCGTTATGCAGGCTTTTTGTGAGATATTACAATAGGTCACTAATTGTTTACTTTGCTAGACTCGTCGGATATCGTCGACGTCGACTTGGCCTCTGATTAGGAGCATAGATCATACTCACACCAAACGTTACCTGATCTCTACCTCAATACATTGCTTTCGCTCGCTTGATCCAAGTCTGGAAAAGGCTAAGAGGACCTGGAAACGAAGATCATCAACGCGTATTGTTCTTTCGTGATGTGTCGACTCTTTATTGTGTCCCGTTGCGAACAAGGGCTCGGAGGAGTATAAATGACATCCGGCGAGGGCTTCAGGAAAACATTTATTATTCCTCTCTTCCCAAGTCTCATTCTCCGCGACAATGCCTACTTTGCGCGCTGACTCGGCGCCGCCTTTCGAGCCATCCAGACGGTTAGACTCCATTCGCGCAGAAGCGCAGCGAATCTACCCCCCCGTTCCGGTGGCTCCGCACTTTCAATATGGGCGACCATCAACGTCTGCAGCTTTACGCGCAGGCAACCGGCCGTCTGTCCCATTTCCAGCGCCGCAGATCTCGACCGCGCGCTCTACATCTCATCTCTATAGAGCTGCCAATATGCTTCGGAAGGCCGATTCATTGTATGTTCTTTTGTGGCTCCTTGCTTTTTCTGAAACTGAATTTGAGGTCAAGGGTTATGAATGTGGCGCACTCAAGCTTGAATGCGCCGGAAGCGAACTTTGGACGTACAAGTCGTCCGGAATCCGACGTCGCTGGACTTCAACGTGCGAGGTTGGTCCTTTGTATTGCTGTCAGTGTACATCTTCTGAACTCTATACAGTATCAGCACCGTTACCCCTCGTTCGGGCCCCAGTGAGCAGGAGCGGAAGCAAGCAAATATGAGGGACTTTTCGTTTAAACACGAAGGAGGTGGTATGAACTTTGGCAATGTCAATCACGTCAAGATGAGGTTTGTTCAGTTCAACTTTGATGGTGTGTACAAGTTCTGAAACGACGGCATTATAGCTCTCCGAAACTCGCGCCTTCGAAAAAGGGAATTGCGGGCGTTTCGCCTAGAGTTAACGTTGAACAAACTCCTTACCAGCCAATCCCCTCGTCGGATTCTGACATCGATGTCGAGGTGTGTCTAACTTCACTAGTACCCACCAGCAATTTTATCTCATTTTCGATACGTTCTTCTAGCTGCTCCAACGTCCAGCCAATCCTGTGCCTTGGGACAACTCTTCCTCAGGCGCTTACATCTGCCCCAAATGCGAGAACTCATTTCGATTCAAAGAAGGCCTCCTGCAGCACCAAGAAGACACAGCTCAGTGCCGCCATCCAACGAGTTTGAGATGCATCCAGTGTCATGAAGTCTTCCCGGGTCTAGCCAAACTACGTGCGCATGGAATGGTACATCCCAATGCCATAGTACCTCACAGCTGTTGGGAATGCGATGAATCGTTCGCGACGAGGGACGCTCTGCGCCAGCATATCAGGACCCATAAACATGCCCGGCCCGCTACGGTCACCGCGGTGATGTGTAAGACGTGCTATCGGGAGTTTAGGACGAAGGAAGAT